TGTATTTGTGATGCAGCGCGGTGGAATCAGGCTCTCGTCAATTTTTGGGCATATATAGAGTTGTTGGTACCATCTTAAAGCTTGTTCATTTGTCTTTATTCGGATGAAAAAATTATCCATTTATCTTGCATACAAGTTGAGATATTTGCGAATAAACGAGGTGGAGGGTCACCTGTTTTCAGAGGTAAAATTAGTGAGAAAATGGCCGCCAAAGATTAGTTATTTCCTTAGCTTAAGAGTCCGTGGCAACTGAAAGTTTACATTTATTGTACATTTAATCAGCGTTTTTCAGAAAAATCTACTCAGAAATCTTTAATGGGATTGAAAGGTGTTGAGCCAAAAAACGAAAATTTGACAAAAATTCACAAACCTGCAGAAAAATGCAAGTTTCTTTACTTTGATATTTTGACGAGAGCCTGATTTCACCACGCCGCCTCACATTTGTTGTTTTATTTCTTGTGGAAGGGGGGAAAGGATAGGACGGTTTTTGTGAGACTTTTTGTTTTAGATTTATTTTTATTTTCAAATTAAGGTGCCGGGAAAGACCAAAACAAAACGAAATGTTTCAGACGAGGAAGGCCAAGAGTAAAACAAATAACTGGGTCGCCACAATTCGGCGAACGAGCAACACTTCTGTCGTGAGTTCGTGTCGACTTCAATTGTTAAGGACTTGTTTTACACTGAGTTGTGAGCAGGCCTTATGGGTGATGACGGATCACACGCTTTCCTTACCAGCAACTGAAAATTTATTGCACCCATTGGTCAACTTGAGTAAACATAGGGAGTGACCTACGCAACATGACCGTTTCATCCATTAGAGGGACTGACAACGACAGGTGAAAGGAGGCTTGTCCACAACGTCAGGGGAAAATGCATACTTTTTAACAAAGTCTGGCCGCCTTAGGCAGGTGTAGATTTGGACGTGGATTGATAAAATAGGGTGGCCGCAGCCACGTTACAGGATAAAAGCAAGGGGCGGGGATGGAAAGTGGCCATCTGTACAGGTGGCCGTCTTATAGAGGGGGCCGTCAAGGCAGGTACAACTGATGGATCATTCACAAGACAAGACAGGAAGATGCAAGAGAATGAACAATGACAATTAATAATGTGCCAGGCTATGCGAGCTTTTGCCAAAAGGTGGGGGTGTTTGCACGAGGACTTTTTAAATCAACCACTACTCATGGTAAAATATGTTTTCTTCTGAAAACTTTATG